GTATTTATTTATTGAAAAACTTCACGTAGGTGAATTCTGATGGATATAACTTCTCCATTAAAAGAGATCACACGATTATCTTGGTCGGTTATCCTAAAATTTACTCTGTGTATGGTTTTTCCTGACACAGGTAGATAAACCAAATTTTTAGGCTCCATATTGAATTTATAACCAATTGGGGTTGAGTATGCGCTGAATGAAAATATTGTATTTGTTTTTAATCCATCATTATAAGCACCATCAATCAAATCACAGTGAATTAACACCGAATTTATTCCTGAGGATATTTGAATGACATTATCACTGTAAAACGTCCCATTAGTTTCAATCTTTTTTGAGGAGAAACCTAATAACTCTCTAAATGAATTATCAATTGTGAAATCAACCTTGTAGTTATTTTTAACTTTAATCGTTGATTTTGAAGTATGTTTTTGAATGTTTATAACAATATTTTTTGGTTCATCACCCTGTTCTTTCATAAGACGAGCAATTTCGGAAGATATTTGAGAAATCTCGTATGCTCCGGGTGAGACTGTTATCGTTTTGTATCCACTTCCCGGATTATAACTAAACTTGTCATTTTTCTCGGTTATATTAAATAAGGTATTATAAGTCTCCATGGACAATAAAGATGCCTCATATTCTTTTGTTGTGTCAAGTTGTAGTGGGTATGGGAATGAAGATGTGTGGTCGCTTGTTGTGAAATTAAAACTCAGGATTGTGCTTCTCATCTTATTTAATATGAGATAAAATGTCTTTATATTGAGATTTATTAATTATTTTCATGTTCATCAACTGGTCTAAAATGGCTGATGCTTCATTAAAACAATTGTTATTTCCAGCCTTCTTACTGCCGAACAACAATAACAGTCTATTAACTAATTGCGATGGGTCATTTGGAAGAAAACTAATACCTGAACCAAGGATACTTAAAGCCTGAATAATGTGTTTCTCCTTCTCATTCTTCCTACTTTTACCAGAAAGAATAACCTTATAATTTAGAGTGTTCAGCAAATCAATATATACTCTATCATCATTATTTTCCATATCCAATGGTTTATCAATATACTTTGATTCATCCCTCACAGTTGAACCTTGTCTTCCATCTTTTGTGAGAAGAAACATTAATCTCGGAGTTAGTTTAACAGGGGGTTGAGCAGAACTTAAGAACCTTAATTCATCATTAAATATCAATACCTTTTCTTGAACAAGATGAAATATTGCTGGTTGTTCTGTTGGAATGAGTCCTGCTTTGGTTTTTGAATCCGCTGAATATTCATTGTTTTGAACAGCATTCACAATATAATCAGGGGGTTGATTAATCTCTTCCAGTTGTTGAAATAAACCTTCATCATGTTCTAATTCTCCAATATGCTCTAATTCTTCCTCCGTCATTTGACTGAAATCTTTTAACATTTGAAGCTTTCTAGGAGTATATTCTACTGTGGGAACTGTGGAAACATCTTTCATTTTTTCTTGGGAAGTTTTTAAAAGTGGTTTAAAAAATTTCTCTTGTTTTTTTTCAAATGCTTCTTCGCCCGTTAGTTTCTGTCTGCGTTTCTTCTTTATGTCTTCCTGTTGTTTTACAACTTTTGAAACCAACTCTTGATGTTCCTTAAATCTTCTTGCTCTTTCTTTTGTATCCATTTATTTATTGTAAAATATCATTTAATGAATTGTAAAGATCAACAGGGAAATTTTCCTTTTCTTCATCATTCAAGTAGATGTGTTCAAATAAATCCTTTTCTTTAAATATTTCATCAAATTCTTTATTAACATTAATGCGAGTTGTAATTTCTTCTTCACTAATCCTTGCATCTCTGCTTTTCATACGTTTGTGTTGAGTTTCTTCATCAACATCAAAACCGAATGATAAAATCTTCACTCCGCTCAGATATTTAATAATTTGTCTCGTTCCTTCTGGATTAGTTTCTAATATCCCAACACCACCAGATTTTAGTTTCTTTAACTCACTCTTACAATGTGAATATTTTGTTGTACCAAGAGAAACCTCCTCAAATATTTGTCCTTCATTCCTCAATCGCATATGTTCCTCCACTGAAATATAGTGATAATCTTCACCTTTTACTTCTCCAGGTCTTATTGCTCTAGTTGTTGTTGATACAATGCGTATCACGGGGTGTTTTTTAAGTAAATTTACAATATTCTCATTTGTACTACACAAGAACCTTGATTTATGAAAGTTTTTTCCAGAAGCAGATTTACCCACAAGATTTATAATAATAGTTGTCATTTATATATGTAATTGTTTATAAAACAAAAAATATATCCCTTAATATCTCATCTTGTTTCACAACAATATATTTATATTTTTCAGTCGTGTGCTTCATATAATCCTCAAATTTCTTTTTACTACATAATGTAGAACAATTATCTCTCCAAAAATTATTGATATCTATTGAATTTAACTTGAATAAAATAAAAGTATTAGCATTGTTTCTGATGGAACGACGAGGAAGTTGAAAGTACGATTGACTAAGATAAATACAATTACAAGAAGAATGTCTCCCTCTTGTGTAGTAGCTGTCCATTACCGTTTGGTTTCTCTCATTAACACAATCATCAAAGATAACGAGGTTCTTTTTTGATTTATCCAAATCTTGGGGAGACGGTATATCATCCGTATTATCACTAAGAATACAAGTTATAAGATTTGATTTCTTTTTACATCTCTGTGTATCACAAAATAGTTGAATTATATCTTCAATGTTATAATCATTTAGGTTTTTTTGACGTTTAAATAAACCTATTATATCTTCTTTTTGAAGACCAGCATTAAAACCTTGTGAGAGTAGTTGATACTCTGGTTGAAAACTCGACTTTGTGAAAATTATTAAATTATCATAATCTAAAAAGTTGGGAGTGAGGAGCATTTTTAAAAGTAAGCAGGTTTTTCCACATCCACTTGAACCAACTATGAGACATCTTAATGAATTTGGGAGATTTTTATGGTTGTTAAATTTTATCTTATTTTCCCAAATAGGTAAAAAATCATTCATTTATATATTTGAAAAACAGGTTATTTAATTTATTATTGGCTTTTTTAGAAACTCTATATTTTATCCTAAGTTCAGGTTTAATTTCAAGATAATCCATTATTTTATTTATACAATATCTTGTGTTGATATTTCCCTGAAAATTACATCCATGAATAATATACAACAACAATCCTTTGAACATTTCTCTTATACGTTCAGTTTCTTCCCTTGTAAGGAAAGGTGTGTTATCATCCTCATACTTTACATTCATTTCTCTAATCAATCTTGTAAAGTAATTCATTTTTGGTGTAAATCTAAAAGAATTATTTTCCTTTTTATATTTTTTATTATCATTAATTAGAAGATAATCACAGAATATACATTGTTTATAGGCTTTTGACTCTGTGTTTAATCCCTGTCTTTCACACGCAGGACAATTCTCAAATTTGTCATATGGAGAATCAGGAAAGTCTAGCATATTTATAAAGTAAAACTTTACTTAAACTGAAATTCATCTATACTTTCAGTTGTATATTACCATCGATATCGATATACTTTTTTTCATTATCAGATTCAACGACAACATTTTTTATATTAAAGGTAATTTTAAAATTATCGTTAACTACTATTGAACGAAATGTCATTTCACCTGATATATTAACATCCTTTATTTCATCAAGATTTACATCTTTAGGGTTGTTGAAAAAAATACAAATTTCTCCTTGCATATTACAGATGGTCTTA